TCCCCTGGCTCTGGCTGCACAAGTGTTTCCATTCTGTACCTCTACTTTACAACTCTTGTTTTTTTCCAAACTCTTGACTTTTGCGCTGATATTTTTTTTTCTTTTTCCCTTCCAGCTTAACTGCTGCCAAAAGTGGATTTCTTTATTGGAAAGTTTGAGCAAGGGCAGTTTGTCCATTTTGGAAGATGAACATACTACTCCTTATGAAAGTACCAGGGGTTTTTTGGTTTCAGATTAAAATATGTGGAAGCAGAAAGCTAAGATGTTCTGGAAGACAAGTTTGGGAGTTAGAGAAGAATTGATTTCGATAATGCTGAGCTATGGTCTACTGAAAATCATAGGCTATGTGTTCCCAGTTTGTTTTCCTCCCTGAGCTCCAATGTTATGGCAGAGGGAGGATCTGCCATGTAGGTGGTGTTATTTGAGAAAACAGCAAATAACACTTGGGTTGATTGTCCCCCTCTGCTCTGCTCTGGTGAGACCTCACCTGTGGTGCTGCATCCAGCTCTGGGATTGTGGCATAAGACATGTGGAGCTGCTGCATTGAGTCCAGAAGAGGCCACGGGAGATGCTTCAAGGACTGGAGCCCCTCTGCTCTGGAGAAAGGCTGAGAGAGCTGGGGGTGTTCAGTCTGGAGAAGAGAAGGCTCTGGGAAGACCTTAGGGCCCCTTCCAGAGCCTGAAGGAGCTCCAAGAGAGCTGGAAAGGGACCTTGGGCAAAGGCCTGGAGGGACAGGATAAGGGGGAATTGCTTCACACTGACAGAGGGCAGGGTTAGATGGGGTGTTGAGTGATGAGGCCCTGGCATAGGTTTCCCAGAGCAGCTGTGGCTGCCCCATCCCTGGAAGTGTCCAAGGCCAGGTTGGACAGAGATCTGGCTCCAGGCCTTGGAGCAACCTGGGATAATGGAAGGTGTCCCTACCCATGGAATGAGATGATCCTTAAAGTTGCTTCCAACTCAAACCATCCTGTGATTCTATGATTCTATAAAACAAAAATAACTGGTTTTACAACTTTTTATATTATTTATACTTTACTCCCCTGTCCTAAAGATTGCTAACATCGAATATGTTTATTTTTCTGATAAAGTGACAAATGCAGATACCTCCTTCAGGCAAGAAACTTCAGCTGAAAATGCTTGTTCTTATGGATTTCTGTTCCCTGTCTTATGCTGTTTTAGCACTGAGCAGCATCTGAAGGTGTTGCTTCTCTTGCCATGCAGGGCTCTCTGTGGCATCACCACCAGTCAGGGTACCCTGCTTGCACTTGCACAGCTCTGAGGGAACTTTTCAAGCTTGATCTGAATACACAAATCAATTTGAAATAAATCTATTGTGCCTAGCAGTCTTCTAATGATGACTTGTTAAAATTATCTGCAGTATGGTTAGAGCTGGGTCACTGGAAAACTGTTGTTAGTTGCCTATTTAATTTTTTTTACCCTGTTTTTTTTTCTTTCTTTTTGTGTGAAATAATTCACTGATATCAGTAGTCGTTGTCTTGGCAGAAAATAATGAGTAATTGAGAAGTTTGGAATGAAAAGTATGCTGTGTTGTGAATTTGTATTGAAAGCAGGACCTTTCTGAAATGCATTCATGCAGCTGCTTGCCCTGATGCCAGAATTACAGTAATTAGGGAATTACTTAAAATATTTTACTTTGTGCTGCTTTTATGCAAATTAAACAATGCCATGGAGCTGCCCACTATGTCACTTTCATTTTTGTCCTCTTCAAAATGTCCAGCTTTTTGGAAAGGATGGTTGTAAACATAATAAACAATTTGAGGAACTAAATAGCTTTAAGAAGAGCTTTCCCACAGCATTGGAGACATAATAGTAAAAAATCATGTTCCATCTCAAGCTTTTGAAACTCATTTTAAAATAAAATTAATACTTTTCTTTCAAAATGTGGCATTTATCTTCTGAAGGACGTGAAATGCTACTCAGCTTAGACTGGGTTTTTTCTTGACACCCAAAATTTTAGTTGTTAGCCCAAGCCAGGCAAAATTATTTTATGCTTTTATAATTTGATCAGTTGCCAAGTTCTCCCAGACTTAATCATCTTAATTTCTTCAGTTTCTCTTGAAGGAACGTGGACTTGACAGTGGAAGGGGAGGTACCAGGGGTATGTGCCATACAGGCTCTTGTTTTTGGAGAGATGAAGGCAGCTGGACTGTCTTCAGCATGGAGCTTGGTGGAGCCACAGAGATGTAACTCAGTTTAAATGGGAGAAACCTGTGCATTACTGTTGGTTGGGATAATTTTAATTCCTGTATGTAACCAGCCATGGACAGGACACAGATTAATTAATCAGCACAGTTTGGCTGTAAAACCTGTCTGGTTGTTAGCAGGCATCTTTCACAAGTTAAGCCAAGTGTATCAGTGCTAACAGAAGGTGGTTGGAACCAGAATTGCTGCTTGATTCACAAATGAGATTTGGGTCACAGGACATCTCCTGGTCAGGGGCTTCTTGAGGTCAGTAGATCTGTCCATGAAAAGGCAAGTGGCATATCCCATCTTCTGCACATGGAAGAATATGACATTGGTCAGGGCATTGCTGCATCCCCACAAATATTGCTGTCTGAAAAGTGTTCCCTTCTTGGATCCGTGGGGCCTGGGAGCAGAAGGCTCTCTGATAAACATGTGTGTTTATCAGTACCTTAAAAAAAAAGAGAGTCCTACTATATTTAAGGATATTTCCTTCTGTTACTGTTAGAAGCTTTATTCACGAGTGCGTAGCAAGAAATGTATTTCATTTGGAAGTTAAAAATTTAACTTTCAAAATGCATTTCTCCAGGCATGTACCCCCTCTGGCAGAGTCTGTAACCTGCCTGGGATGTGTGTCTGGAGACAGCAGACCAATAATGTAATTTACTGGAGATGTGGCTTGCCATTACTTGTATCATTCTTTATTTCATTGTGACCATTTAAAAAGCAAACCCCTTACCCTCAGAGTCTTCTGTAAGTGCAGATTTTGGCTAAAAAAAATTTAATTGTGCTCTTATAAAGAAAATGCCATTTTAGACTTGTTCAGAAAAAGAGGAGAGCGCTGCTGCTCACGTACTGTGTCATCACTCAGCCAGGCATCTCTGTCCCCTCTGCACTCACCTAGAACTGCATCACTTCTCCCAACTTGCAGTTTTATTTGGGAGTTTCAGCATCAGTGGCCTGAGCCAGTGTGATATCAAGAAACTTTTTGAATGACTCATGTTTGTGCCAGATGAATTCACCTGACCAAAGCTTCCCACCTGTGGTTGCCCTTACAGGTAATGTGAGTGGTAAAAGCACGAGTGAGAGGGATGAGCCAATCTCGTGTTGTTGTTCTCTGTCCTGTTTCTGTGCTTTTCTCTGAGGTTACAGCGTTGGATGCCATCAGCTCCACTCACACCAGTTCAAATACCAAAGCTGTGCCAGATTTGCAGCACTGCACAGCTGTCAGACTTTTCCTCACTGAAGTTTTGGGGATTTTTTGAAGTGTTACAGAGGCATTTAGCTGAATTCCATAGTTCTAAAAATGACAGTTCATCTTTTTCCTGTAAGAAGCAGTTGCTTTTGAATTTTTTGTGCACCCCAGTAATGTGAAATAATTGCCCCAGCTTTCACAATATTTTTTACCTTTTAAACCTAAAGGGACCCATTCTTTCTCTCAGATATTTTCATTTACATTTTATTAAATTATTCTAATTCTAACACTAATCTGACTTTAAAATGAATAAGGGTAGGTTTAGATTAAATGTCAGAAAGAAATTCTTCCCTATGAGGGTGGTGAGGCCCTGGCACAGGTTGCCCAGAGAAGCTGCTGCTGCCCCGTCCCTGGAAGTGTTCCAGGCCAGATTGGACAGGGCTTGGAGCAACCTGGGATAGTAGAAGGTGTCCCTGGAACTGGATGAGCTTTAAGGTCCCTTCCAACCCAAACCATTCTGTGATTCTGTGATAACTTATTATAATGTCTAATACTTTTTAAAAGAGACACTGTTCTGAGTTTAAAGAGTCGATTACAGAACTCTGGGCCTGCTTTGATGGGAAAGTTGTCTTCCATCACTCTGACTCTTCCACAGGAACAAACCTCTGTGGCATCAATGCTGCCAGTGTGTTCTGTCAGATAACCCAGCTGACCCTGTCACTACAGTTATAGGATCACTTCCATGGTCCAAGGTGGAGCTTTGTGGCCGTGCAGCCTCCCTCTGCACCCTGCTAGGTTTTGTGTATTGCCAGAATGGGCACCTAGAGGTGTGATAGCCCTTTGGATTCTCTTCTGGGTGATCCAGATGGATTGATGTGTGGGTTCATAAATGCTGTTTTTCTTGTGGTGGCTGCTACAGTCATGCTGAGAGCAAACTGAGATGACTGAACAAGCAGCCCCAAGGGGAGCTGGTTTTGATGTGCTGTGGAAGTTTCCTGTTTTCTCCCATGTTGCCCTAGCTGCTTTCTGACAATGTTTGGTTTGTGGGTTTGCCTCTTAACTTGACTGTCAAAAAGGGTTGGTGAGTGGGTTTCTTGAGGGAGGGATTCATCACAAGGACTCCACAACAAGTGTGGTGTACCAGGAGGGTTGGTGGGGTTCCCACTGGCCTGCACGTGGCCCTGGTGGTCCCTGGTGTTGGAAGGAGTGAGGGGTGTGCCTGGGGCAGGGATTTGGCAGTCCCTGCTCCGTGTGCTGCTGGGACAGACCACACCATCCAGCTACACAAACAAACTGTGGGTTTACTGAAGGAGCTGCAAATAGCCTGCAGCTGGTCTCCTCGGGTCTCGTGGCTGACCCTGCTGTGAGAAGGAGGCTGGGCGTAGGTGACCTCCGGTGGCCCCTTCCAGCTTCAGTTCCTCTGGTTCTGCGAAGGTTTTTTATGTGGAGCTGTGCCTGTGTTTGTGTCTTACAGTGACAAGAATAATGTGAAAAATCTTCGTGATATTTTTCTGCAGTTTCTAAAGATGTCATAATTTGTTTTTTAATTTACTGTAAACTTATACATATTAATCTCACTGTAACTTTTTTATTACTTCCTTAGACAAAATGTTACGGCCAGACATTACTGACAGAAGTTTACAAGCATCTGAATTTGATTGAATCAGACTACTTTGGAATTGAGTTCCAGAACATCCAGTCATATTGGGTGCGTACCCTGACAAATCAAGTATAATAAAAAGCTTGGGTGAACACAGTTCCTTGAGTGTCAAATGTTTCCAAGTCTGCTGGAGTGTCCTGTAGGATCATCTCTTGGATTCTTGTAGATCTACTTCGCTCACCAGATGACGACAACTACTAAAGCAGAGGGGAGGAATCAGATTCTGCTGCTTCTTAAATCTCAGAAAATGTATAAAGCTGTTAAATAGCTGCTGATATTCCCACTTTCAGGGACAGAAATAAAATCCTCCTTTCCTCTGAAGGGGGAAACATCAACCCAAAGTGTCCTCTGTGAAACACCTATAAAATCATATCACAGTGTATAATTTTGGTAGTGTTCATATTCATCCTCAGTTAATTCAGTCTTCAGTTAATGTCCTTGAAGAACCATTACAAACCTCTTTCCAACACAAACCTCAGCAGGCATACAGGCTGCAAGCTTTTTAAGTCATTGATCTAGATCGATGCTGACACCTTTAAGCCTCCTAGTCACTTATCCTGTACCTTGCAAAGAGGACAATGTGGCTTCTAAACTAGAAAATGTCCCCCAAACCCTCTTTTCCTTCTTTTTTTTCCTATTACTTTTTCTAGTTTTAGGACATGCAGAAAATCTGACTGAGAACATAGGGAATGCTAATGGCAGTAATCCACACTGCTCTTGAGCTGAGGAAATACAGTAAAACTTGTTTAGTTTCCAGTTCTTCTGCACGGTTTCCAAACTGTTACTGCAGCTAATAAGGTTCTTAAAATCCTCATCTGTCTCTCAGACAGAGCAGTAACTAGTAAGGACCAAACATAATTGTCTTGTAACAGTTTTCTCTTTGGAGGGGTGGGGAAAATAAAAGGTGGAGCATCTAGAATATATGAATTACTTTTATGGATGCTCCTTTTACGAGAACAGCAATAGTCTTTCTTTTAAAATATGCTTGTCAAAAGAGGAAAAAATGGTGGGGAAATTAATAACGAGTAAAAACCCTTAAGCAGGTAGATAAGAGTGCCAGAAAAAGCATGGAAAGGAAAAAAAAGTTGGACCTTTTCTTGTTCTCCAGACTTTCTGTAATTCTGCAGCCTGGCTCCTGTCTGGCCATGGCTTTTGGCATGACTCTTGCCTTCTTGGCAGTGGGGCTGTGCTTTTGCTGACTTGGCTCTTTTTCTGTCCAGAGGAGCTTTAAGCACAGATCAGTGATTTTTCTACTGATGCATGAGAAATGTCAATTCAAATAGATAAGTGCACTTTTTGTAAAGCAAAGGAATTACTGCATTGCGGAAGAAATGCTACTCATAAATTACTGCTTAATTTACATTTACTTTTGATGTTCTCATATTATATTCAAATAAGAATGTCAGTTTGTAATTTTTTTTTCTCTGCAATTTCAGATTTGGCTGGAACCTATGAAACCTGTTATTAAGCAAGTACGGAGTAAGTAGTTTTAAAAAAGGAAGTTTTCCTTAATTTGCATCTGCTTTATGTGGGTTGCTTTCACAATTACTACTTGATTTACTGGTTATGCTTCCCTGCAAATTACACATGGTAGTGGTGATAGGGGTTCCTGTTGGGACATGCCAACCTGTTGTTTTTAATAGGTAGTATGTGGTGGGTGGAATGGAAACTTACTGCAGGTAGGATTCTCTCTGTGATAAATATCTAGACAGATTGGGTCAGCTGGTGTTATGTTGCAGTGAAATATAACACTTGCTGTTTGTAAGCTTTTGGAAGTTGTGTTGTCATACCGTGGGAAGAAAAAGGAATATTTTGGCTGATTCCCGTGTGAGCTCTTTCCATGTGCTCAGGAGCAGCTTTGCTGGGAGAGCAGAGGTAGGGATCTCCCACCTGAATGGTGGCTTCAGAGCTTCTGCTTTGGCTGTAAAATGCAGTTCTGCTCCCTGGCCAGGAGGATGCTGCAATAGTGAGGCTGTCTTGTCTTTATACCACTCTAAAAAGTAATGTGAGAGGTAATGTAGAGGTGAAAAATAATTGCAGAATGCAGCATGCAGGTTGATTCTTCAGATGTTGAAAGACTAGATCCAGCTTTTTTTTTTTTTTTTTCCCCTTTAGAGCAGAGTTAAGCTGTTTGCTTGTTTTCTGGTTCTGAGTGCAGAGGCTTTGTGGAAGAACAAGATCAGGAGGGTGTGGTGGATTCCTATTCCTTTCCAAATTTTGATCGAAATATGTTAAAAATTAGTACTGGGAAGTAGTTTTTAGTTAGTCTTCTGCCTAAAATTGATTGCCAGAAAATATGAAATCACCAATTCTAGCTAATTTTTTAACCTTAAAGTCAGGATTTTGACTTCTGCCAACATTGTTTTTTAAGCAGAAGAGCCAAACCATCTATAAAAGGCTTCCTTCGAAGGGTATACAATACTTTCACTCTCTGTTTTCCCTGCCAAAAAAATATTGGAGTGCCAACTTTTTATTTATTCCTGGCTGGAAGGAATTATATCCTAGATAAAAGATCTGGTGGACCACAGATCTGCAGTGCTGCTTGGTTACTTCTTCTGTATTCTTTTCTACACCATATAAATTGGGGAATCTTGACCTTAGATCATAGATGGTGTTCCCTGACGGGACAAATATTGTTCTAAAATGATCTAAAATCATGGGGACTTGCTAAAAGTTTTGGCTGCTTTGTGGTCTACCACCCACGTTATGTTGCCAGTGAAACTGAAAGATTTATTTTAAAATTTCTAAAATTTTAATCTGCAAGAGATACCAGTCACTTGTCTGGCAGATGTTCACATTCTGAAATCAGTTTTAAATTGAAATTTCCTGTTTTCTGTATATTGGGCTTTTTGTTTACTTATTTGTTTGAGGGTTTCTTTAGAATTTAATGATTTTGGAGTTAACCTTTAAACTTTTAGTCTAGCAGCAGGGGAATGTTATCATTGGCTTTAAGGTGTTCCAACTCAAACCTGTTGGTTGATGTTGCTGGTGATTGCTTTGTAGCTGCAGATGTGTACTTCTGAGTCTTTGACATCCTCTCTAAACACAAAAGTTTTTGATTTACTTTAAATTAACCTTGGCTGATGACCTGTTCTGAGATACATTTAGCTTTGTGTTGTGTGGTAAGAATTTTATTTTGATTATTTTCAAATGAGTGCAGTCAGTTTTGCAGCCAGACCACTCCAGAAGGCAAGGAGTTTGGATCCAAATTTTCAGCTCCCTAACAGGCACACAATATCAGGTTGGCATTTGGGTACCTTCTCTGAGGTGCTGCCAGTTCATGTAGGGTTGTGTTCACCATCCCTGCCCGAGTGATTTTTCCTCACATCTCTTTTGTTGTTGTTGTTCTTGGTTTTGCTCAGATTTGGCTTCTGAAAATAAATTCTGCATCTCGGTTAACACTGGTCAAGTGTTTCTTTTCCTCATTTGAATGGGACTTATTTATAGAGGACAGGCAAGGTTGACTAAACAAAAAGAGGAGGGTTGTGCTGCAGAGGCAAATATGCAGTATTATGTTTTTAATTTTTTATATTTATTGTCATTTGATGTAAATGATGCTCAAAACACTTCCAAAATTGCTTCCACATTGATACTTTCTAGTTGATTGACATCACTGACATGCAGAACTGTTCTTGACCTTGTGAAGATCTTCCAGAGGCTCAGGGTATTTTCAGAAATTTGATGTGAAGTTTTGGGTTTTTTACTGGAATCATTAAAACTATTCATTTTCCTCACTTGCTGCATCTCAAGAACTATAAAATCCTTGGTCTCTGCCAAATGTGAGCTTTCTGTGTCATTATACGGTGTTATTTCCAGCCTTCTTTTATTTCTAGAAATTACACTGTAATTGGGATGTGGATTTTAGTTTTTTTTGTTCACCAAAGCTTTAGTGATTCTGGGATTGGAGGCTAGGAGCTGCTCTTGTGACAGCTGTGATAATCTGTGAGTCAGTTCTCCCAGTCAAAAAGCAAAGTCTGTAATTCCCTCATTAGCAAACAAGAGTGAGTGGAGAAACATTTGGCATAGGGGAATTGGGTATTCCAGACAGAAGAAATCCGTGTGCTTTGGGGCTGATGGGGTTAAATTGGACTTTGTCAAGCTTTAAGAGATCTTGATGCTTAAAATAAATCAAAGCAGGCTGTCTTGTGCTTCCCAGCATGCTCCAACAAATTTGATTTTTTTTGGTTTTTTTGGTTTTTTTTCTAATTTGGCTAAGCTTGCTCTGAAACATCAGTGGCACACGGAGTCCCGGGGTGGCTGGGCCTGGCTCTTGCCCAGGGGGTGCCTGCAGCTGTCAGGTGGATGCTCTGCAGACTCCTGTGAGGACAGGCTGGCCAGTACTCTGCCTGCCTGCAGAACACTCGGCCTCGTCTGTTTTAAGGCAGGAAAGACAGCGGGAAAACGGTGGTGCCCAGTCCTGGCATGGAGAGCAACTGTGGTACCCTGTAGTAATTCCTTCAAAACTCCAGGTGAAGTGGGGACTGTGGTTCAACAGGGACTGTGGTTCAGCAGGGTCTGTGGTTCAACAGGGACTGTGGTTCAGCAGGGACTGTGGTTCAGCAGGGGTTGTGGTTCAGCAGGGACTGTGGTTCAGCAGGGGTTGTGGTTCAGCAGGGACTGTGGTTCAGCAGGGGTTGTGGTTCAGCAGGGTCTGTGGTTCAACAGGGTCTGTGGTTCAGCAGGGTCTCTGGTTCAGCAGGGTCTCTGGTTCAGCAGGGACTGTGGTTCAGCAGGGTCTGTGGTTCAGCAGGGTCTGTGGTTCAGCAGGGTCTCTGGTTCAGCAGGGTCTCTGGTTCAGCAGGGACTGTGGTTCAGCAGGGACTGTGGTTCAGCAGGGGTTGTGGTTCAGCAGGGGTTGTGGTTCACAGGCTGAGTCGTGGTGCTGGAGTGGTTCACACGGACCAGAGAGGTTGTGTTTTGTTGTAAAATGCTCCACAGAGCGTTATGGACCGTTCCCAACAGTGACTGGGGATGCTGTTTAATTCTGAACATTAAATTAGTTTCCTGCCTGTTACTGAGATGGACAAGGAAGTGTTGAAAATGGGTATTACCAGGCATACCAGGAGCAGGCTGCAAACACCCTTGATCTCCGCAGGGAACCAGATGGGTCCATCCAGGCTTGTGGGTTCAGTTCTAATCGTGTGGATGGTACTGGGAGCCTGTGGGGTGTGTCTCCTCTCTCCTCCCTTTCTGGGACCCTTTCACTGGGTCACCTGTGATGCTGTTGCATGCAGCCAAGTAGTTGCTTTGGGGTGTTACAGATTTCATGTTGAACAGAGCTCTTTTTACAGCGCTGAGCCTGCAGACTCACCTCTGCAGTGGTATCCAGGTTCTTTTGGAAACCAGCTGCTGTATCTCCGTTGACATGGACAATCTGTACCCCAGACTCTGCTGTGGTTAGGTGGGAGTTGAAATCTGGCTAGACTTCATGTGTGTTGTGTTTCTCTGCTCGTTGGCAAACAGAATATGCATGTGCTTATGAAGAACTCCTGGGGTTTTTTTGTGAAATGACCCAACTTTTCTCCTAGGACCGAAGACTACAATGCTTCGTCTAGCTGTGAAGTTTTTCCCTCCAGACCCGGGTCAGTTGCAAGAGGAATATACCAGGTAAAGTACTTTTAGAACTATTAGATTTGCATTACCTACTGAATTAATAGGGAGGTAACAGCAGGAGGGCAGCGCAGCTGCTTCCTACCAGAACTCAGATGGAAGATGAGTCAAGGAGCACTTGGAGTGAGTGTCACAGCTTCAGCAGACATGTGTTGGCAGATGGCTGGTATCAGAAAAAATACTTTTCAAAACAGAGAGCAGCACAGATTAGCACTTACCAACAACATGGTGTCAAAGGAGTCAGAGTATATAGAAAATAGTAAAATTTATAAACAGTGCCCATATAAAATAATCAGTACATACTTGAATAAGTTATTTAGAATTTAAACTTCCGAAGCCCACACTTTGCAGCTAAAAATGACAGCTGCAGTTACTGCACAAACCAACCCTGCTTAAAATGTGGTTTTCCTTCTGCTTCCTTGTTCCTGTGAGTCCTGTGTTGATAAATTGCACTGGATAAGTCATAGGCTATTTTGTTTGATTTGGCTGTCCTCGGTAGCCAGGCTGCTGTGTTACCTGGGGTTTGGAGAGAGGAAGAATTAGGAATTGCTGGTTTTATAACCCCCTGCTCAGTTGTTCTGTCGTCATTTCATCTGTCAAGGATGGTCCTTGTAACTCCAGCCCTTGTCCCTCTCCCTCAGGTACCTGTTTGCATTGCAAATCAAGAGAGACCTGGCAGAGGAGCGACTGACCTGCAGCGACAACACGGCAGCTCTGCTGGTCTCCCACCTTCTGCAGTGTGAGTATCCCAGCTGGGCTGACACTGGTGCTGGTGCTATCCCAGGTTAAATAGCACACAGAAGCTTTTGGTAGCTAAAAGCCATCTCTGCCTCATGGTATTTCCTTCTCTGCACACTGTAAAACACGTTGATTTGCAACCCTGGAACGGTCATCCAGGCTGGCTGTGGGGAGGAACAGCTGGTGCTTACGTATGAGATAACTTTGGCTTCGTGGAGGATGTAGGAAACCAAACCCCTTCCGTGTTGTCTGTTGTCCCTGGCTCTGCAGGCTGTGTCACCAGCACTGTGCATCTTCCAGACAGATGTTCCCATCTGCCTCTATGCTCCCTCCACTTTGCTTCTCACTTTCCCTGTGCCTGGGGGAAGATGGGTGTGTAGGAACTGGGGTGAAATGCAGGTAGAACTGTGCCAGAACGAGTTCCACAGTGGGACTGTCAGCAGCTTTCCTCCTCACTGGGAGTGAAAATGAAAATGGGAAGCAATTGACTTGGAACCTTCCATGCTGCTGCTGACTTGGTCTGTCTGTACCTAAAGACCTAAAAACATGGCCTTTGAGACAAGGAGGTTGGAAACCTTGATTGGGTTTGGACACCAGATTGCTGGAGCAGCAGCTGGAGTGTTCACACATCTGCAACCTGAGCTGCAGACAGGACTTTTTGGGGCTCTTTGATGACTGAAAGCAAAAGCTGTTCAATGATGTTCTTCACACATGCACTGCTAAATAATTATTAGTTATCTAATTCTGCATTGCTATATAATAATGCAGTTATAATAGTTAGGGTGATTTTATTGGAGGAGTGTATCTATCTCGTGTGTGTACCATCAGTGAGTGATGCCATTAAAACCTGCTCATGATTTCCCAGCAGTGAGGAGCTGCTGAGCAAATCTCACCATCGGGTCTTCCTTAGCTTGATTTTACTCTGCTGCAAAATTGGATGGGAGAAAGAATAGTTTTATTTTGAACAAAAATTATTTTACAGCAATCCTTTAAATATTTTTTACTTGTTTCGTATGCTGGCTTGATTCTAAACAGGATTTGCTGTGTTCTTGTTAAGAACAAGTCCACTTCTTTTTCTGATGGCAGCTGATGGCAGATGCTCTGGGGAAGCCCTCAGACACAGAGCAGGCATATGGCAACTCTTCCTTTGCTGCATCCATCCCATAATCTCTGCATGTGGCCTTTCTAAGTCACAGACTGACTGCATCTCTGTGTTTAGTTGCCCCTGTGTTTGTCTGATTTTTGATTTTGCTTATATTTTTGGCATCCTTTCAGGGAAATGAGCTTCACAGCTTAGTTTTTGGGAGATTTTTAGGATAACATGCATGCTTTTGTCTTTTAAAAACTTTTGTGCTTTAATATTATAACTTCATATTTTACTATCATCAAAAGTTAAATTACTTTTTAAAATGTATTTATTCAACTTGTAATTTTTATATACATCTACCATATATTCTACCTGCCTTGTGCTTTTCTTTTCTAAACTGAAGACTTCCAGTTGCTTCACGTCATACCAGAGGGAAACTGTTCTGCACTTTCTAATCATGCTTTTTCCTTCTGTAAATCTCTTCCTAAATCCACTGTGTTGTATCTGAAAGACATGGATATGTGAAGAGGAGACCAAAACTCCAGATGTAATTTGCCATCTTGCCAAGTAGCCTTGCCCGTTACTATTTTACAAAAGTTTAGAAAAAAAATACGTTGAAACATGGTGCTTGGTATGAGGTATCTGTAAGTAAGAAATGTTCACACCACCTTGTGGGTCTCCTACAAGTCTTGGACCCTTAAGAAGTCTAAATTTTCCAAATTATGTTTAAATACTGCTCTAATTCCCAGGAAGTCTTCTTGGGATAAATGTGCGAGTTTGGTAAAATGAGTCTGGATAGAAAGCGTGATGCACAAATTTGAAGCACTTCAAGGCTCTTGGAGTCTCTGTGATTCCTTACCAAGTGTTTTCAGTCATGATTCCTTTTCTGTTGTTTCTTCTTACTGTGACACTGTTTTGTTTTCTTCTTATTCTAAAATTGTTTTATTTTCTGTCACAGCTGAAATAGGGGATTTCGATGAATCGGAGGATCGAGAACACCTTAAAACAAACCAGTATTTGCCAAACCAGGAAAGAATTGAAGGAAAGATCCTGGAGTTCCACAAGAAGCATGTGTAAGTGAGGACTGAAGTAAACCCCTGATGTAAGCCCTGGGGAGCATGCAGGCTTGCCTGGGGGAGGTTGAGCATGTTGTATGATAGGATGATGTTAAGAGAGTGTGCATAGGTCTTGCTTTTGTCTAACAGTTGCATCATAGTCATTCTGTACTCATTAAGCACAAGGGAGATGAAGAAGGTTGGAGGGAGTAGGGGAGAAATAACTTTCACCAGAATTCATGCAACACCTTATTCTGAAGTTGGGATATTTTTGAAATAATAGATTATTGGAAGATTATTGGTAACAAAGAAACTCTTCGCCACATAAAACTAGTTCCAACACGCAGTCAAGAACTGCAGGAACTTATTCTTCTGTGATTTTTGAGACCTTGCACATTAGAATTTAGCAATTTGAAGGGGTTTTGTTAATTGTGAATATCTTCATGCAGGCTTTATTGTGCCTGGTTGTGTGTTTTAATCCAAATGCTATATTAGGAATTTAAATGTTCCTTTTGCTTTATGTGGGTAAAATCATGGATCGTTGCTGACTGACTTTCTTTTCAGACAGAACAAGGAGGTTTTTCAGGGCAACATCTGTGTTTAAGGCCAAGACACATCCTGTAGTATTGGAAAATTAGTTCCTGAGAATTTCAATAGTTAACTCTTTGAAACTGTTTATGATTGCTGACTTTCAGTTGTGCTGAAATTATTGGTAAGGATGGAATTTCAACTTTGTCGATTCTTCATGAAATCAGGTGTTTGTTACTTTTTCCTGCTTTGAACCTTTAAGGTGCACGTGGAAATGGTTAAAAAGGAAACTAAAAGTTTGGTTTTGTTTCTAAATGATTTAAAGTAATTCTGAAATAAAATGTGTGCTAGGGTTCTTCACCTTGGGAGAAGGTAGCTGGAGGAGGGAAACCATTAATTTCATTATTTTTCTCTTGTCAAAAGAAAAGTGCTGAAAGAATTACTAACTTCAAAGCAAACTAAAAGGGGGAACATTCTTTTCATGGAACTCATTGTGATACTGCTGCAAGGTGTGGTGGTGTCTGAAACCACAAATGGCTCATGCAGGGTTTTGATGACATCATTGCATAAGCTGATGGCTGTCAAATTTGAGATGAAATGTGGTGTTTTTAGTTCTGGGATAAGAACCCTCAGAAAATGCACAGAAGAGCCCTGTGTTAGTCACATGCCTGGATTCTGTTGAGTTGCTTGTGAGGAATTTTCTTGGTTTACTTCTCTTGATGGAAAGGTTGTGACTGTCTTCTGAGTCAGGGACTGGTGGTTTTGTTAACTGGGTTTGAGCTTTTTTTTCCCAAACAAGTTACTTCAAATCATTTGTTACAGTAAGGGAAGTTTGCATTTTTGTATTGTTTGTCCGGAAGGAGTCAGAGGAAGGTTAATAGGAAAAAATTCCTTGCTTCATAAGTGTACTTTTCATTAGTTTAGGAAGAATTACATCTAATGCAGCCATACTATTTAAAATGGTTGTAGATCTTATTTTAAAGCAGCATTTTAGAAGTGCACATGCAAACCACATTAAGATTAACAGCTGAGGCATGTAGTTAGAAAAGGTTGCCATTGAGCATTAGCAATAACCTTGAAGGCACATTTTGAATCCCCCCACGCCTTTGGAAAAAATTTTGCTGGAGAGATGTCATTTTGCAAGCGCTGCAATCCTAAAAATAGCTGTGACTTCCGTGGTTTAACCCCAGCTCAGCCCCACACAGCTGCTTGTTCCCCCTCGGTGGGGTGGGGGAGAGAATTGGAAGGGTGAAAGTGGGAAAACTCAGGGGTTGAGATACAGGCAGTTTAATAGATGAAGCAAAAGCCACACAAGCACGCAGAGCAAACCCAGGAATTCATTCCTTCCTTGCCATGGGCAGGCAGGTGTTCAGCCATCCTCAGGAAAGAGGTTTCCATCACACATAATGATGACAGAGGTGACAAACACCATCACTCCGAATGTCCTTCTCTTCCTCCTTCTTCCCCTGGCTCTACATGCTGAGCACGATGCCATATGGGCTGGAATATCCCTGAGGTTGGCTGGGGTCAACTGTCCTGGCTGTGGCCCCTTCCAACTTCTTGTGCTGCCCCAGTCCCTTGCCACTGGAGTGTGTGTAGAGCAGGGGAGGCCTTGGCTCTGTGTGAGCTTTGCTCAGCAGTAAGGAAAACATCCCTGGGTTATCCACGCTGTTTTCAGCACAAATCCAAAACACGACCCCGTACCAGCTACTGTGAAGAAAATTAACACCAGCCCAAACTAGTACAACATCTCTCTTCCCTTGCTCAAGGAGTATTGGCCACCCTTTCCTATCTTTAGCAGTTGAGGAGGTCCCATGTTTTCTCAGTGCAGACACATTTTTCCTCACTTTTGTTCCAAGGAACAGGCAGGAGCAGGGACCTGGAGCATTTGGCTCATTCCTGGTGATGCAAAGTGCAGTTGGACAGACATAAATTTATTTCCCTCTCCTATTATTCTACTGTGTCATATTTTTATTTTTGTGATTTATTTTCATTTTTTATTTCCTTTAATTGACCTTGTTGTTCCCCCACTTACTTTTAGCAGACTGATATTTTCAAGACCAGGTTGGATGGGGCTTGGAGCAACCTGGTCTAGTGGAAGGTGTCCCTGCCCATGGCAGGGGGTTGGAACCTGATGATCTTAAAGGTCCCTTCCAACCTAAACCATGCTGTGATTCTTCACTGATGATTGCTTCTGACAGAGACTTCTTGTACTAACTGAGCATCTGGGAAGAGAAACCCGTTTCTGGCAGGATGGTTCATTTCCAGACCAGTGCTGCAGCACCTTCTTTCTGCCTCAGATTCCCTTCTTTTTTTAAATTGCTTCACTGTAGCTATTAGAAGTTGTAGAGCATCATCAACCTGAATAAAGCAGAACCTCTATATCCAATCCATTCTGTATATTGAGAACGTTGTAATCAGAAAGATGACAATTGAAAGCTTATTTTCTATTAAATATTTTTTTCTTTCACTTTTACAAATACTTTCTTTTACTTCCACAAGTAGACTATACTTAACTTTGCAAATGTAGTAATGGTAAACAGAATGAGTTATATTTTTGGTGTAGCATATTACTTAGTTGCTTCAGCAAGAGGCTGAGTTTACTTATTTCTGTAATTAATTAAAAAAAAGAAAGGGTTTATATTTTGTAGATGATGTATTGATGGGGGTGCAGTTAAATCCTGACTCAGACACTCAAAATACGATTTTTGCTGTCTTCCTGAGAGTAGTAGAATACTTGTTGTGAGGTGAGTGCAGTCCAGGATTCAACATGTGTTCACATGGCTGTGGTTTCTTTGTCAGGAAAGAAGTAGAAGATTTGAAAGATTTATATTTACATTTACTGTTGTCCTTTCACAACTTGTTAGCCTAGTTGTCCATGATTTAAATTCTTTCAAGTGTGTATAAATTAGAAAGTTTCTAACTTTACACTTCATCTTTAAAGTTCTATATTGATTACTGGGTTTAAATGGCCTGTAAATCATCTAACACTTGGCAGCATTTATTCTGAATCCATTACCACGGGAATATTGTAACACACAACCAGTATTTGTACACAAAAGTGGATGTAAGGAACCTTTATGTTAAAACCTATTGCACTGACAGCAGTTTTTTGCTGGAAATGCTGTTAATAGGTAGTCTGTTGTCCATTGACCTGGGGAAGATTAAGTAGATTTATCTGCTTAATGGCTGAACAAAATTAGAGCAGATTGTTTTGGGGCTGGGCTGTGCAGCTAAGCCTGCAGCCATCATCTGAGGGCAATTACTGAAACTGCTCTCTTTGTACCTGTCTGTGGTTCTGCCTTCTTTGGTAGGTACAGGAAGGTTGTGTGCAAGAGAACACTCTTAAAATTGGCTGCTACCTTATTTTTTATTTTTTTCTGAGGTGTGCTGTGCTTTGGATCATATCTAACAGTACGTGAAATAACTGTCAGTGATTCTGCATCAGTTACACCAGACTGTTCATGAGGAATTTTTAGTACTATATAGCTCCAATTTTCTAGTTGCCATTTTTTGCTTTTGTCTCCCTTCCCTTCCAACCCTCCTTGCCAACCTCAGCACCCTCTTTAAAAAGACAAAGGCCCACTTTCATTCCTAATGTCGTTATGTTCAAAAGAATTACAGCAGGAATTAGTGTGGGTGGGAGTTACACACAGTGCTCTCAGAGTGTAACTGAGGAAGCTGTAGCCAAAAGTAGGATTTATGATCCACCTCTTTTGTCTTGTATGTGTTTAACAAACAGGAACCATGGTACTCCTGCTTTTATGACGCAGTTAAGGAATCTGTGGTAGAAATGGAAACAACACTTAAAGCTGGTATTAAAAGCACTTACTCATTTCAGTGAGGGGAGGAGAAATCTGCTTTGCTGGTTGAAACTCTTGGACATAACTAGTACACGTAACAGTAACACTGCTAGAAATGCAGCTACAAGGCTCTCTCTGTAGTTTGGCATTTCTTTTTCCATTTGAAATCAGGTTTTTGTTCCTCTGTGTGTGTTCTTTGCAATCCCTTTATACATACATGGTCACAAATATTGACGTCTGGATAAGGGTGGATTATGGACTGAACTTGTAAACTCAGGAATGTCACTGAATCCCTGCCTTCTGCAGTTGGCAAATAAATGTGGGATTTCCTGTTGCAGTGTTTTAGATTCTTGCTTTTCCCCTTGTGAGTGAATAAGGCAACAGAACACTGCTGAAATCCTGCTGTCAGATGTGTGTGCATTCAGGCTTACTTTCTCTGGGCATTTTGTGTATGTGTGTGTTTCACCCTAAGGAACATTTTACTGAGCATCAAAGAAACATTGTTTTTTCTAACAACTTCCATTTTAATAACCCTAGCAAGTTTCATAATTGAACTCTGAATTGTAGAGAGAGTTCCTACATAGAGTTAATATATATTGGCATCATCCCTGGTTCAGATAAATTCAAATGTGATAATCGTTCACTTCAATATTCTCTATATTTTAAAAAAATCTGTATGGAGCTAAACTGTTGTTTAATCTAACACATGACTCTAGGTAAATAGAAGAAGATGTTTTTAAGAAGCATGACTAGAAAGGCAAGTTAGGAACAACAGGAGAATTTATTTAGTACTGATGTTGTGGTTGGCACTCCATAGTACACAAAAATAGGTAACGCTAAAAGTAGTTTATCATCTGTTTTAATGAAATGAAAGGAAGATTTATGGAAGGAAGGCTGTTTCTTGGCAAACAGAGGTTTTAAAATTTGGCTTAGTCTGTGTGTGTAGGAATCTAATCTGGTTTCAGCACTGCTTGGTTGTAAATAGAATAATAATAAATTTTTATCACCTGTGTCTTCCTTCTGTCATTACATTTATCCTAGTGAACTTGCACAAGCATGAACTTACTCATGCAACACTTGCCTGGATGTAATTTGATATTTATTATTTCTAATCATTGTCAGTAATGATTATTAATTTATGTGGCTGTGGCTGAAATAGCCTCACCACTCTGAGTGCCTCTGCAGGTCGTGTGCTGGTGGTGTTTCATAGAATCACAGGCTGATTTGGACTGGAAGAGACCTTAAAGATCATCTTGTTCCACCTCCTGCCATGGGCAGGGACACCTTCCACTATCCCAGGTTGCTCCAAGCCCCGTCCAACCTGACCTTGGACACTTCCAGGGATGGGGCAGCCACAGCTTCTCTGGGCAACCTGTGCCAGGGCCTCTCTGAGTAAAGAATTTCTGTTAACATCTACTCTAAATCTCTTCTCTTTTAGTTTAAAACCGTTCCCCTTTGTGCTGTCGCTATCTGCCCATACAAAAAGTCCCCCTCCCTCTTTTCTATGAGCCCTCTTTAAATACTGAAAGGCAGCAGTGAGGTCTCCCAAGAGCCTTCTCTTCTGGACACCCACAGCCTGCCTCCATAGCAGAGGGTCTTCTGCCCAGCCCTCAGAGCACCTCCTTGACCTCCTTTGGTCTTGCTCCAGCAGCTCCACGTTCTGCTGATGTTGGGGGCCCCAGAAGTTGACACAGCACTGCAGGTGGGGTTTCCATGGGATTGGCACAGGAGAAGGGTCTCTTGCTTTACCTGATTCTCCTGAACTGTATTTATACCTGAAACTGGACAGTAGTGTTGTCTTGCAGGATGTGTAGTTCAGAGACCTCCTTGGGCAACAGGCTTGTGTTTCTGATAAGGACTTTTTTGCTTTGTGGTGTCACTGGGGCACCATCTGTAGCAACGGTTGGAGTTGATCATCTTTGAGGTCTTTTCCAGACGTAATGATTTTGTGATTCTATGATTCTAAGAACTCCTTCATTTCCATGGCAGCATATGTTCATGGAGGATCCTAAACCCCTTGTCAGGACCCCTGAAGTGATAGAGAGTGGTTTGACTTATGGGAAAAAGTCTTGTACCAGCTGAAAAATGGACTACAGTACAATAGGCTCCCTGTCATGGAGAAAAACTGGGGGGGGTGAGGGGAAGAAAAAGGACTGTTTTCACGCAGGAGAACAAAATATCTGTGACATCAGCTAACTTGGGGAGCAGTCAGTGAGGGCTGAATCTTTGATGGGTGTGTACCAGAGTCTTGAACAGTCTCTGTGTTGGGGGTTTTGGACATTGTGTGCTCTCATAGAACAGTTGCTCCCTTTTGTGTACAACTTCCTCTGGTTTTCAGTGTAATTTTGACAGCAGATGAGGTTTCATTTTAAAGATCCTTCTCTAGATTCCTTAGCATGGAGGTAATTATCCAGCTGAAGACCGGGGGAATCTGCTGTACCAGGTAGTAATAATTTTGTAGTCCCAAAACCTGAGCTGAAATGGGTCATTCTGTTGCAATATTTGCTTTGTTTCTGTTGTACTGGCTATGCAGCTCTGCCAGCTCTCACTTCTTATCTGGTTAATGCTAATGTGTACACAAGCAAGCAGAAGAAAGAGCATAGTGGATTGAATTTGGATTTGTTCAACTTCATAGTTTCTAAAATGAAAAAGCTCTGAGCTAGCTAACATCTGCTTTAGCATCTGTCTTGGGATGCATTTGAGGTTGGTTGTCATCTGTGTCATACAGAACTCCTCTTACAGAACTTTCAGTGTAAAACTTAACTTGGAGTGAAACTGCCCAAATAAATGAGACAGAAAATTCTCATTTAGTGCGAGAGTTCAGACTCCAGTGCATTAGCCCTGTTGGTGGCAGTATTATAGAATCAGATTGCTCTTGAAACTTTATTTTTCTCCCTCTTTATAGGGGTCAAACTCCAGCTGAATCTGACTTTCAAGTGCTTGAAATTGCCCGGAAACTGGAGATGTATGGCATCAGATTCCACCTCGCCTCCGACCGTGAGGGCACCAAAATCAACCTGGCGGTTTCACACATGGGTGTGCTGGTGTTCCAGGTACGGCAGGGACGACCGAGTCTGTCTGTCTGTCCTTTAACATGTCTTGGAGTAAGTCTCTCATTTTAATATCAGGTGCCTCTGATCACTTCAAAATTTAGCACGTTTTATGGTCAAGGAGTGCCATTTAAGTCCCCAAAATATTGTTTGATGCAGTTTGTTCTCGTTGATGCAGAGCGGAGAGCATCAAAGCCGACAGTGGTGGTGCAGTAGAGGGGTTTTGTGTGAGAGTTAGATGTGTGAGAGTTAGATGTGTGAGAGTTAGATG